CAGAGACGCAAAGCCAGATTTTTAGTATAAAATTACTATCCACTTAACCGGAGACCGAACTGACATATGTGACAACTCCTCTTTTCGCTGCACTGAATCACAAATTTAATCTCGCAAATGGATTCAGACCGCATATCTCATCTAACTAGTGCCATAACAAAAGGCCTGGACATATTGTCGCGGATATACGTCATCGCTTTTCCAACCTCGACCGTCTTTCCGGCCAAGAGATGAATTTACCGTGCATATCGATTGTATAAATACATAGAAATGTATCTTCCGAGGGTTATTAAGTTTGTCGACGGCTGCAAAAACCAGACGAGTCGAAAGCTTTTAGGCGACCCTTGCCCGTCTTTTAATTTTAGCGTTGGTGTCGATGGTGGATATAAAATTGGTTATATCGCATTTCCTTTGTGTATTCCTTTGGATTATCGTTTATGATCGAAATTAGGTTATCCCTTCGATGGACGCTCGGTTACATCACGATCTGTCATATTGGGAAAATCGACTTCGGGGCTCAATTGGGTTAGGACAAAGTGGCAGTCGCTTTACCCGACGAAATCGACCCTGTAATGAGGTTATCTTAAACAAAATAGCTGACACGTTCGAATCTTCGCCGTGAAATGCGTTTTCAGTCTACTTGAAACTTTGATTGAAAAGATAACTTCAGGATGACTGGTTTGTACAATCGACAATGAGCTTTTGCATCCTGAGCACTCCATAAGAGGCTTGGGAGTTAAAAGAAAAACAAGTACCTCATGATGCTGGGGTTTCTTAAAAGATATATCTGAGACCTCTCAGTTTAAAAAATCTCTTTATTGTTCTCCACTTTATTAACTTTAAGTCTTTTAACAATCGTGTTAATGCTCATGAAGCCCTATCTCGTGATCTCGGTATTCTGTCTTTTCTAACCGGACTTGCCTATCATTACCTTTTTCTGCTCTTTTCACTCACTAATGGATTGGTTGATTGACTTTAACCTTACACATTGACATAGTCTTGTTAGGTCCGCACTCAGCGATTTTCCTTGTGCCCGTGCAAACTATGTGGCTAATAAGTTGCTAATCAGTTTAGCGATCTGGACTTTTTTTGCATTGAAAAAGAGTTCATGCGGCAGCTTAATCCAGTATGACTCTGATCAATTCGTTTCAATTCATTGCTTTTCAGCTCGTTTAACCTGTTTTTTTATGCCCTCGTGTTATTATTAGTATTAGTCTAAATTTGCTTTTTCTTGTAGATTATTTGGTTTAGTATAAGTATCTTGTAGTTACCCATTTGTATTTACTTTAGTGTGTATAATAATGAACACTTTCGTCCGTCGTCAAATAACTAAACAAATAAATAATACAGAATGTTGGATGTGAAATATTAAACTTAATCGCTGTCAAATAATAAAAAGCCAGCTTTATATCAAAACTGTGTTCCTGTAGACCAGAAACACTAAACATAGATACAACAAATTAGTTTTTCTACTCATTACTCTAGTGTATCGAATTATGTAATTATTATGACACTATAATTGGGTATTTTAGAGTATGAGGAAGAGAAAATATATCTTGAAAAGGTAAAAATATTGGCTGAGTTAAAAATTAAAAATTGTAATTCAAATGAGGATTTGATTAAAGTAATTAATAATTAAATTAATTAATTTATGAAAATTATCAAATTTGAAAATTTATATTAGCAGGTTAAGACTCGCGGAAGATATCTTAAAAAATATTTCCAGCAATATCTCGTACACGTTTCGCAAAATACAGGATTTTGTCCTAAACCATTAATGAATCACTATGTACATATGTGTAATTTTATTCGCCCTCTATCCATTGCCATTTCTAAATATGTATTTCTCTTTCAAACAATGACTAAACAATACGCATTCTTTCCGGATCATTGTAATAATATATTGCAAAGAACACGAATTTATAGTGCACGATAACCTCAAAGGATGTGGGTTCTTTTTATACATTCGTATATCGATATGAATTATCGTCGATAAAAATTCCCTCGTCCACATTCTCTCCTTTAGCGGTCCATTTGAAATTCCTATTTCACCGCCGCCATGCTTATGAATATAACATAACGGTTTGACACCCTCAAAGTGTTAGATATCGAAAATAATTTTCGGAGCCGAGTCGAATGTTCGGCAAATTTGCAAACTCTTTGTGTAATTTCTGGTCCCTCGACTCGCACGAAGTTTGTCCGGAAAGGTATAGTCGGACTTACGTGGTTATCGTTTGGCAAATATGTGGTTGCCATTCTTTGCTGAGTTTGTCACCGGAGGGACATGTTTTCAGATAAGTGCCAATCTAATATTTAAATTAAGTGCGTAAATATCCAAACGGCACGAAGGGTATTGGTTCTTCCGTCTCTGATTTCTTTTTATTTTGATTTGATTACTCGATTGCTATTGAGCATTATCCAGAAGCAGAAGTGAACGTAGAGATATTGAAGGGTATTGCCTTGATCGTAACTATTACATTTTTCCAGTCTTCTTTGCGAAGAATTATTAAACGACCATAATTTAATATTTCAACTGGCAATCGACTCATTGTTAAAAACAGCCAGGAGAGGAAGCTATTTACTCATCTCTGCTATCATCAGCATTAGAAAACGGAGACAGCACTAGTTGTATTGCTTTACAATGAAGGAAAGTCGCCTTATAAGGCTGCCGCTGTCAGAGAGATAGATCCCATCATATGCAAACGGTAGAAGCCATTCGATTTAAAATGATTAGGGAGTGTCTACAATGTGGCATCACTCCGTGGTGGACACTACTGGTGAATGATATGCTAATTCTTTGTTGAACTGGTCGTTATGGTCAGAGCTATATATGAAGAGGTGATATGCAATATCAATAACAATTTGGTCAGTTGATGACGAATCTGTAATACTATTCACAAATCTTCTAAATTCCTCTTGCGTCGGTTGGTGATGAATCGAACTTGCTAAACTTTCTGCTTTTGTACTTGATGTCCTCTCGATAAAAGCTTGTTAACTTTTCAAAGAAACTTCCACAGGCAACTTTATTACTAATAACAAATCTTCTTGGTTCCTTTTGCTTTGGTTGTTGATGAAACGATTTTGCTGACTTTATGATTTTGCGCTTGATGTCCTTTCCATAAAGACTTGTTAATTTGACAAAGAAATTTTGACAGGCTACGTTAATACTATTAACAAACCTTCCGGATGTTGATGAATTGAACTTGGTAACTTTCTGCCTTTACGCTTGATGTCCTCTGCATAATGGCTTGTTAATTTTTCATAGAAGCTTCCACAAACTACTTGAATACTATTAACAAATCTGGATCTTTCCGACGTCGGTTGTTGATGAATCGAAGCTAATGTAATACTATTCATAACTTTTTTGGATTCCTCCTACGTCGGTTATTAAAAAATTAATTGAAGCATGAAAGTGTTTGCTAAATTCGATCAAAATTCAAATAGAATTTCACTTCTACTACATTAGTTTTCAATTTTATACTTTCATAATATTCAATGAATCAGATATATTTTCCTTTCTCAATATGAGCGATTGAACTATAGTCTATATAGCGAGACGGTAAAGATTTATTGACAAAATGTAGGAAAACGCAGACAATATTAGGCACACATATAATACAAATGAAGCAATGCAATTACAAAAACTACTGTATATTTCAGTACAACTTCTCGTCCCGTTTGATTCCATGTTAATATAGTTTTGAATTTATGTTCGGTGTTTTGTAGTCGTTTGAAGGATTTTTTTCTATCCAATTTGTTTACCATCTTTCGTGTGGATTCGCATTGGCGTCGAGAGCTCCATATAGGTATTGATTGTCTATGATTATGTGTATTATGTAGTTCTAAATTTAATTTCTTTTTGCAATTCAAAGGGCTAAAGGTGTGATGAGCGAGGAAGTTAGTAATTTCATTCTGACATAGCATCTACCTATGTTTCAATTTTAAGGAAAGGTCATACTTTCATATTGTCAGTGATACTGTTTTATATCTACAGCGCCGGAGTATACAGATTTATTTGAAATGTTGAAAAAGGGCTTGATGATGATCGAAATGGAGCGTTGATGTTTTTTTTTCTCGTCGTCATATCATTCCCCGCTATATTTTCTATTTTAATCAGTCTAATAGAGCCATTCCGGGCAACGGCAGCGCCGATAACTCAGCGGTAGTGTTCGAATATAATGGTCGACCCAATCGGAACGGTGTTTAAGGGCGATATATCCCCGGCTATAAATCGTTGAATACGACACAGTCATATTTTAGCGCGGTAACGTCGTTCCCCAGATTTATTAAATCATAGTTTTCGAATAAAATCTAATTATTCCGGGGATAATTATATTAAAAAGATGCTTATGACTACTCTCACTTAACGAAGATCGATCGTTCCTTGTGAAATTGCTCGCAGATGGCGCGTTGCGAAAGAAAAATTAATGGCGGGTTAGATGTTTTGAATGAACACAATGGTGTAGTAAAACGTAGTAGAACAGCCTCTACTTCTTCTAAAAGTAATTCAGCTTAAGTTTAAGTTTAAAATTTGATGGTTGTAAAAAAAGTATAGTATGCAACACGTTGATGCATTCCGTCAGTTTCTCGTGACTAAAGTGGCGGTTATTGAAAGTGTTGTTTAACATGCCATTTTGTTTACGACGAAAGATGTCAGGGATATCTCTATAAAAGGGTATCTTCCATGTGTGACAATTTTACTCTAATATTTTTAAATTTTTGAGCATAAAGTACTGAATCTTAAAGGTTTCTAACCAAAAAAAGTTATAGTCCTAACTAATTTTCTAAATTTAACTTATTAAGAAGCAACTACTCAACTAATTGCACTGGTCTGCAACTTTTTTTCTCTTTATTTCTTTTAGGCATGATTTCATCATATTCTTTGATTCAATAGGCAAATAGGTACAGCACATAGATTTTGAATAAATTGTTCACTTAATTGAAAAACAATATTATTAAAGTAACTACAATTATAAAAAATTTAAAAAATATTACGGTCTAAGTTTTACAGTCGAAAATGCTAATTTTACTCTTACTTACTCTTAAGTTATTTTATATCAGTAAATTTATCTCATGATGATAGTAAAGTTACTTTGTTTTTTTTCTTTTCATCATTTCTATCGAGGTTTCTCGGGGAAGCGACTAACAGTAATCAGCAAGCACTTCTGCTGACCAAAAAATGAATTTTAAGTGACATATTGCATCCTAAAACAAATATTCCATAGGTATCGAGAATATTTTATTTTTTCAAGTAATACCTCCAGATTTGCATAATTTTCTTTCATGTTTGTTGCATGTGCAACGGCCACTGATGGGTATTTATTATGGAGTAAAACGGCTTTCACACTTATCTTTGAGGCATCAATAAAAAGTCTTCATTCATCAGAATTTTCTGGAAAACTAAGTTCTTGAAGAAGCCCGGCGGCATCATTATAATATACTAAATCATCTTGTCTTGTGCGAAAATATGAGATTCTTGTACGTTTATCCAACAAATTCCGATGTTTTAATCTTGATGCGAGTAATTGTGCTTTAGATTTTGACATCCCCAAGTCTCTAACAAGATCATTTAACTGAAACATTGTTTAAGTAAATGAGGTTCTTGTGAAGGGCTTGAAGATCCAGATAAAGTGTATGAAGGTGAAGATCTACAGGCAGGAACAAGGTGTATTTTTATTTGACATCCTTTTGTTATTTTTTGGTGGAACTGGAGGTACAGAGCCTTCACCACTAGGATATATAATCTTTTTTTTTCGAGAACCCTCGTGTGGGTGCCATGCAGAAGTAACAATCATTTTCATGATTCTGAGGTTCACTCCAAAGCATTGGCGTTGTAAACGGCATAGATGTTTGACTACCTTCAAGCCAACCTCTCAACGTTCTTGAACAACTGTTACAACAAATTTTTTGCAGCCAACTCTCTCTCTCTACAGGAAATCCAAAATAAAGCTGATAAGCTGTTTTAACAAGGTTGATTATGGCATTCCTTTGCATTTTTGAAATAAACTCACCACAAATGTAGCAAAAACAGTCTGTAGAATTCTTACAAGTTCGGGACCTAAAATTAAAAAAAAAAATACAAAAATTTTCAAATTGCTATTTTCAAGAAATTATCTAACGTTAAGTTCCAAATACCTCTACGAATTTTCAAACACCCTGTACATTAACCGCAGTGTGCCGAGGCGAGTTTATCGGACAAATGCGAGAAGAAAAAAAAAATGAATCCGACGACAGATTATAAAACAAGCAACCCGGCACAGTTCAATTTTATTCAGGAACGCGCGGCTTCGGAGAACTACAGCGCAGCGCTAGGCGATTGCAACTGCTCTCCCGCTTATCACGGCATTCGCAGGCCATTAATTCCAAATCACGTTACCGGGATACAAGCATTATAAAATGATCACTTCATTTCACAGCCACCTATTGTTTAAGAGAGGGTTAAATAATTGAATTCAACATTTCCGGTCTGGCAATTAGAGAGAGATTTCGGCTTACGTTCGTTCGCGCAGTTCCTGAATTATGGCCGATCTGACCGCTCATCCGTAAATCCGTGGAAGAAATATGATGTGGTGCAGTAAAAAAACGTTTTTTTTTGCCAGTGCGGTATTGCAGCGTTCACGGCATTACAAAATATCGTCGATACGTTGACAGCGATGTTTTACAAATTAACTTCGATAGCGAAAAATTTATGGCACTTTTTATTCTCCAGCAGAACTACAGCGAAATGTGAGTTTTTGTGCTGGAAACACAAAGTTTTACCCTGGGTACCTAGAGTCTTTTATTTCCTTTGTTAAATATGTGACCCCAAGTCACATGAAAGGTGCGATGCGCAGCTCACTTAAATTTTAAGGACAATGGCGATATACTTATTCAAAAACGAAGAGGCGTATTAAAACATAACCCCCAATATCCTCTCTTGTATTGCCAAATATTATGAACGATGATTTAAGTAGCTGTTTCAATATAAGATTTCATTTTCGATGTGTCCTTTTACAAAACTGCCATTTGCACATTACTGCCCAACTTTTCTGAGATTCAAAAAATGGTATTACCAGATTCAATGACACCTGTGGTTTCTGAGCCACAAGGGAAAATTTAAAATGCTTGATTTTAAAACTTTGCCATATCTCAATATGCAAGACGTTGTAATTTTGTTAACAATTTTTCATTAGGCATTTTTGTCAGAAATAAATGGCGTAATTAACATTAGAATTTTTGGATCGCCGTCAGAGCAGAATCTTAAATATAGACCAGAAATGTTTTTTGGATAATTTATATCCGTGTGTGATTTTTCGAAATATTCCACTGGCGTTTTTTATTATTACGAATTATATTATTATATTGTAGCAAAATATCATTTTCTAATTTAAGTTTTTTTTATTGTTACAGAACATTATAAAACTTAAGTTTAACTTGCTTTATTTCTGTATCTATAAATCACATTTTGGAATTGTATTTTATATAATATAATACACAGGCAGGAATTTTGTTATAAGTATATCAGAAAACAAAATAATAAAAGCATTAACGGCCACTATTACCTACAATGGAAAAGTGATATAATATTATTGAAAACAACTTATACGGGCAAAACTTTTAACTCAAATTTTAAATACTGGTTATTTCAAAATATAAGATATCGCAAGTTTTTTTTTTAATTGCCAGTTCAAGTTTTTCTCGAAGTTCAGAAAGTATGCTAGTAGTGTGCCTTTCTCACTCTGTCAGTTTCTCATAATCACAAGTTGACAATGGAACACCCAGTACAACACAATAGAGTAAAATCATGTTTATCATATTTTATAGAATCGCTGTGGGTAATCGATTAGAATTTTGCAAGAAGTAGAAGCAATAAAAGTTAAAAATCTCAAAATACAAATGAAAGTGACCACGATGCTTTATTTTATCGGTGAATTCGAAATGTTCTATTTTACTATATCTTATTTATCTGCATCCATATTTGAAATTTTATGAAAGTGGACAATACTTTAATAATCAAATTAAATCAAGACATTTATTTTAAGGAATACATCAAAGTTCGGGTCGCAAAGAAATTATTAATTTTGTAGTCTATTTTCCCTTAAAACGGTATTTTTTGTTTTTTATTTATTGAGATTTAGGTTAGAATGTTTCCAGAAAGTCGTCTCGTCGTTATATACCATTTAGATACGAATTAGGAACATCTTCTCTCCCAGAGATTGAATCATTTATATCTATCTTATTCCTTACGTTCGCGTTCTGTTTTCAAGAATATGGTAAGTCGGCAACATATCTCATCTTTCAAAGTCGTATTAACAAGTCGTTATGCCCAAGCGTGAATCGAAAAACCTTCGTCCTTCGCTATATATACAGCGTGGTGGATTAGCGCATTAATATTAAACATATAAATATATTTCTTAAAATTTCCAGTTTTTAAGTTGGCGATGAAAGAATTAAGGGTTTATTTTATTAAAAATATAGAAAGCAATTGTAATATAAAAAATGGTATTCCTAAAGGTATATATAAAACTATATATAAAATATATCTCTCTGAACAGATCTTTAAATTGCGAATTCCAAAACAATTTGGCACTTTGAAGTCACGTTTTGGATATATCATTTCACACACTTCACTCTTTTTGTTTCCTAAAAAGAGACAGAAATTAAACTCCAAAACCTCAAAAAATGAAGCATTTGATGTAGCATGTATCTTGGGCGTTATTTTCGAATTTCCTAAAATCTTGGATATTAACCAATCCTTGTTAAATGAAAACTTCACCAATATCCATGCAAGTTGAAAATTAAATTAATTGAAGTATGAAGTAGATATATTTTAAAATAATATTTTAAAATAATTTTAAAAAAATTTAATAAATTCAGAAAATCGAGGGTTTATTTTTTATTTTATAATAGTTCTCATTTGAAGTCCCGGTTAAATGAAAAATAAGAAAACTACCATTTCACGCGAGACACTTTATATGGTACATACATATTACAATAATGAGAACCCCCAAATCGGAAATTTCGAATTATTTTAAATTCGTAGTTTCAAGAAAATTTGGTATAAAATTTAGCTGGCAGCTTAGACTCGTTGCCAGTGTTGTCCGCGCTCTTTTTTAGTGCGAGGCGGCAAATTTAATTTTCTGGGTGGTGAACAGCAACGAACGACGACAATATCCGATTACTGAGATAAAAAAAAATTCCTGCAAATCTGTCGCAAGGGTCCACTTCTCACATTCGTAAACCATACTTCTCGTATTAATCGATATATGTTTTGTATGCTCGTATCTGATTAGAGAGTGCTTATGGTTAGACCTAGTCAAGCGTGGAAATGGCTTTTGAGCTCAGACGTTACATTAGTTATAGGGGATAGTTCGTAGGTCGGCTTAAAATTTGTATCTTTATCGGATGTAGTCCTCTTAACTTCAGCTTTCGTTTTTTGGGTTAATTATCGGGTATCCGCCATTTCGTCAAGATGTAAACATTTTTAAAAATTCAGTTTTATTTAAAAAAAGTATTTATTATATTTAATTTGAAAAGAGTGTTTCAAAATCACATTGACCATTATGAGATATCGAAGTTTTAAAACTATTTAATTGGTTATAAGTACTTCAATCAAAATTGTATGTTGTACATGAAATAATCTCAACAGATGCGCGCAAAACGCAGAACCTTGTAACGTTAGTCTAGAAAATTCAAATTAAACTGATATATATAAAATATTATAAAATAATTTAAACAAATGCGTACAAATTGCTGAACTTATTGACATTATTTTATACAATTTTGCACGCACCAAACGAATATAGGAAAAAGAAACATCTTTTTGTTCCTTAACAAATGGTGTTGTTTGCAGCTGTTATTTTTTACTCAGTTTGGGATACCTGTGTGTCAACTGATGGTGTGTGTTTATAAGAACATTTTTGTTTTTCAAATTTTCCGTCACGTTTTTTAGCTAGTTATATTTTATTGAAATGAAAAGTTCTTCGCTATAGTATATACTGTGTACTGATATCATAGGCTCCGTAAATACTGTAAATTCATGCAGCTACTAGATATGCCTTGTTTTAATCCGAAAAGGGTCACTTTTGAAGCCTATATCAAAGAATGTGGTAATTGAACATTCAATGTGCTTCAACTAACAAACCCGTTTTCAACCAATAAGACCTTGTTGCGTACTAGAATCAACATGGCCGCCAACAGATCGTTAAATCAAAAATTCGAGTTTGAATGTGGCCATTTTTCGGCAGTGCTTTTGGTACATCTGTGAAATTTTCGAACTCAGTCCTTTATTTGGGTATAACGCTTCAATTCATGAAAATGATCCTTGGGGAACAACAGGGTACCAAAAGGTGGCAGGATAATGTTGAGCAGGCGTCTTCGAAATAGTAGTAGCTAACAATGCAGCAGATACACCTGTTGAAAATGTCATATCGGAAGAACTGCAGCCAACGATCAATGTACCACCAAGAAGAAAACGGATCCAATAGACCATAAATGTGAAAAGGAAAAGTGCTTTACTACCTGAAATATCCCGATTGAGTACCTTAAGCCAATGAATAGAATAAAAGCAAGCGATTTAAATAGATAGATAGACCTTTAGTCCAAAAATTGTTACCCATGTTAACAATAAATGAAATGACGTCAAAGACCCGCAGTAGATCAGCTACAACTAGAGGTACTTATTGCTAGAACAATCGTAATACTAGATTATATCCTTAATTTTACATAAGGCTTATTTACATGTTTATATAGTTGTCTAATATATATTTCTCAAGTTCAATTAAAAGTTTTGGTTAGTTAAACATTCAGGATAGGTGTAATATTCTGATCTCGTATTATAATTTTCTCTATTTAGTCGTTATACTGTCAAAAGTCCCATTCATTGAAACACATTTCGGTACGTTTGATTATATTCCATTTTTCTAATTACTCTGATTACATTTATTTATTTACTTAAAAACGGTCTCGAATGGTACTTTTTTTTAAAGATAATTTCGAATTTCAGTTTTGATTTGAATGGTTAGCACCTAAAATTATTAAAGAAAGGCTG